GTACACACACAGTCCGCTGAATTCACGCAAACACACACAGACTGCTGAATACACGCACACACACACAGACTGCTGAATACACACACACACACACAGACTGCTGAATACACGCACAGACACACACACTGCTGAATACACACATACTGCATTGAGGTGGGGGGTGCTGTGTGTGGGGGGTGCGTGTGTGTGTGAGTGTTGTATGTGAGGGGTGCTATGTGTATGTGAGGGGTGCTGTGTGTGTGGGAGGGTGCTGTGTGTGTGTGGGGGGTGGGGGGTGCTGTGTGTGTGTGTGTGCTGTATGTGTAAGGGTGCACGGGGGGGGTAGGGGTACTGCTGGGGGTAGGGGTACTGTGTGTGGGGGTAGGGGTACTGTGTGTGGGGGGGATAGGGGTACTGTGTGTGTGGGGGGATAGGGTACTGCTGTGGGGGTAGGGGTACTGCTGTGGGGGTAGGGTACTGTGTGTGGGGGTAGGGGTACTGTGTGTGGGGGTAGGAGTACTGCTGGGGATAGGGGTACTGCTGGGGGTAGGAGTACTGCTGGGGGTAGGGGTAGCTGGGGGTAGGGGTACTGTGTGTGGGGGTAGGGTACTGCTGGGGGTTATGGGTACTGCTGGGAGGGTAGGGGTACTGTGTGTGGTGGGTAGGGGTACTGCTGGGGATAGGGGTACTGTGTGTGGGGGTGGGGTACTGCTGGGGGTTATGGGTACTGCTGGGAGGGGTAGGGGTACTGTGTGTGGTGGGTAGGGGTACTGTGTGTGGGGGTAGGGGTACTGTGTGTGGGGGGTAGGGGTACTGCTAGGGGGTAGGGGTACTGCTAGGGGAGTAGGAGTACTGTGTGTGGGGGTAGGGGTACTGCTGGGGGGGTAGGAGTACTGCTGGGGGGGTAGGGGTACTGTGTGTGTGGGGTAGGAGTACTGCTGGGGGATAGGGGTACTGCTCGTACTGTTGTCCGAACTAATAACTTTTGTTTTAAAAGAACACAGAGAGTTCAATGATACAAATTTTAAATAATGATATAAATAGATAAAATTAAGCTTATATTTATTAGTATCTCCAACAAATGCAATACATACACACACAGACTGCTGAATACATACACACAGTCTGCTGAATAAACACACAAGACTGCTGAATACAGAGACTGATGAATACACACACAGTCTGCTGAATACACATACAGACAGACTGCTGAGTACACACACACACAGACTGCTGAGTACACACACACACACACAGACTGCTGAGTACACACACACACACACAGACTGCTGAGTACACACACACACAGTCTACTGAATACACACACAGACTGCTAAATACACACACACACACAGACTGCTGAGTACACACACACACAGACTGCTGAGTACACACACAGTCTGCTGAATTCACGCAAACACACACAGACTGCTGAATACACGCACACACACACAGACTGCTGAATACACGCACACACACACACAGACTGCTAAATACACGCACACACACACACACTGCTGAATACACACATACTGCATTGAGGTGGGGGGTGCTGTGTGTGGGGGGGTGCTTGTGTGTGAGTGTTGTATGTGAGGGGTGCTATGTGTATGTGAGGGGTGCTGTGCGTGTGTGGGTGTGCTGTGTGTGTGTGTGTGTGCTGTATGTGTAAGGGTGCTGCGGGGGGTTAGGGGTACTGCTGGGGCGTAGGGGTACTGTGTGTGGGGGGTAGGGGTACTGTGTGTGTGGGATAGTACTGCTGTAGGGGTAGGGGGTACTGCTGTGGGGGTAGGGCACTGTGTGGGGTAGGGGTACTGTGTGTGGGGGGGTAGGGCACTGCCAAAGGTGGGGGTAGGGGTACTGCTGTGGGGGGTAGGGGTACTGCTGTGGGGGTAGGGGTACTGTGTGTGGGGGTAGGGGAACTGTGTGTGGGGGGTAGGGTACTGTGTGTGGGGTGGGTAGGGGTACTGTGTGTGGGGGGGGTAGGGGGGTACTGGAGTGTGGGGGTAGGGCATTGCTGTGGGGGGTAGGGGTACTGCTAGGGAGTAGGAGTACTGTGGGGGTAGGGGTACTGCTGGGGGGTAGGAGTACCGCTGGGGGGGTAGGGGTACTGTGTGTGGGGGGCAGGAGTACTGCTGGGGATAGGGGTACCGCTGGGGGTAGGAGCACTCTGGGGGTAGGGGTACCAGGTGTGGGGGGTAGGTGTACTGTGTGTGGGGCTAGGGGTACTGCTGGGGGGGTAGGGGTACTGCTGGGGAGGGGTACTGCTGGGGGATAGGGTGCTGGGGTAGGGCTACTCTGGGGGTAAGGGTACTTGGGGTAAGGGTACTGGGGGTAGGGTACTGCTGGGGGATAGGGGTACTGTGTGTGGGGGTAGGGGTACTGCTGGGGGGTAGGGGGTACTGCTGGGGGATAGGGGTGCTGGGGGTAGGGGCTACTCTGGGGGTAAGGGTACTCTGGGGGTAGGGGTACTGCTGGGGGGATAGGAGTACTGTGTGTGGGGGGTAGGGGTACTGCTGGGGGGATAGGGGTGCTGTGTGTCAGTATACCCCCCCTTCTTACCTTTAATGAAGTGGGGGGGGACACAGCCATCCCTGGTGGTCCGGTGGTGGTAAGCACTGCAGGGGGAGGGATCTGTGATGCAGCTCCCCTGTCCTCCTGCGCAATGCTGTGTGGAGCGTTGCCATGATAACGCGCGGCAACGCTCCACACAGCATCGCGCGGGAGGACAGGGGAGCTGCTTCCTAGAGCCCTCCCCCTGCCTCCCGACCTGGAAGCAGAGTAGGCGCCTGCCGTTTCGGGCAGGCAGGTGCCTACTCTTCATTGATGGTGAACCTGTGGCCGCGTGCCCACAGAAAGGGCCCGGCGTGCCACCTGTGGCACCCGTGCCATAGGTTCGCCATCACTGCTCTAGGGTCAGGAATACAAGCATGTATTCCTGACCCTATAGTATTAAAAACACTATTTAGGTTCTTCGGCCTCTCCTTGCCCACCTTAAAAATCTAAAACTCACCTTTATTCATATGGGAAAGCAATGGATTGGATGAGATTGTCAATTCTGACTATCTCAGCCAAATGCTGCTCTGGCCACTCAGTATCTCATCATAAGTTCAGCAACTTCATGCCGAGGGTGGAGATACTGTATTGTAGTGTTGCATGCCTGAGTGATTGCCACCAGGTGTTCCTAGGCAGTAATGTAAAAACTGCCTTTTCTCTGAAAATACAGTGTTTACATGTAAATGCCTGAAGAGAGCTATTAAACTCACCAGAACAACTACATTAAGCTGCAATTGTTCTGGTGACCATAGTGTCCCTTTAACCTGTTCATTATAAGGAATATACAATAGATGAGAGGTCATCTATGGTGATTCTAAATAGGGGTTCTTTACAGAAAGAACAATAAAGATACTTTAATTCTCTACCCAAAGAGGTTGCCTATCAAACTCTGTAGATATTAGGCCTTGGTGTTTTCTTTTATTTTCATTAAAAAAAATAAAAATATTCAAGGATATATTAAACATGTATGTGAACAGGCTGTTGACTGAAGGATATATCTGATCTGAAAAAAAAAGTGTTGAGTGTCAATATGACCCCCATGTTGGCATAAAGGGGGTTTTAAACGTCCCTTATGCGGTGGGGGCAAGTGTGCTAAACAGTGAGCAGCTAGTTTCTATAACAAAAACTACAATTTGGGCCCGTAAAATAATGGGCAGCAGTGGGCATTGGGTGGAGGATTGAAATTCAATAAAGGGGGGTGGACAGGTCACTGTCCAGATCCCTGCCCCCACCCATGGCTTGCCATACTAATGCTAGACATGGGATGACATTAGTATGCTAAACATGGGATGACATTATAATACTAATGTCCTCCGCAACCCATACCTAGAGGCAGCGGATGGGGGCTACTAATATAATAATCCATTGTCCCCCCCACTGCCACCACCATATTATTGTCCACCTCACATGTCCCCAACCATAGGCTTTGGGTGGGATGTAATAAAAGTGATGTACTTCAGTCCGCCCCATAAACCCCTACCCAATGGTTAGGGGTCTTCAAGTCCCTAGCAACTACCCAAAAAAATTGCACTACCTATCCCATTCACCTTGATAGTACTGAGGGTGACAATTAATCTAGTGCCTGTAAGAGAAAAAATTATACTTGTCTTCAGAAGTCTTTTCTTCAGCCCCGATTAAAAAGTAAAATAGAAATTTTAGTACATTCTAAGGATACTATTTAAAAATAAAAAAGAACTAAATCGCAAAACAACTGCTGAAAAAAATAAAATAGCACTGCAAAACAAAAAACAAAACATGAGCCCTGTGAGGACTCCACGCAGAATAATCTTTTAAGGGGGAAAGCAGTCTTTATAAAGTCTTTCTCATGCTTTGAAATACCCATAGAGCACTCTGCCAGGCAAGTCCCAGCTCTTGAGAGAATTTAAATGGTAGTAAACATGTGCAAGGAACCTACGAAGAAGGAGGAAGAAATGCCTTTATAGAAACCTGTAGCTGTGAATGTAAGTGTTCTCTTAAAACTGACATCATTAAGAGTATTAGGTTAGGTACTTCAGTTACGATAAACAGTACCATGCCTGCATATGCCTGTCTGTGTATGTATATGTCTGTGAATGCTTGTATGTGACTCTCAGTGTGTGTGCATTCCTATATGTGCATGTCTGTGTTTGTTTGTTTGTTTTCTGGGGCGGGTACTTGTGTCTAGGTGCATTCCTGTGTTTATTTGTGTGCATGTTATGTATCTATGTCTATAATGCATCTGTAAATATATGTGTCTTAATGTGAGTGTACGTGTAAGTTTGTAAGTGTTATTTAAAACATGTACCCATGAGTGTGTTAACAAGGATATATCACAGCTGTTAAAGAGTGCAGTTTGTGAAGTACAAGTTTTGGTGCTTTGAGAAGCATTCACTAAATTTTGTTTAGTGCTCAAACCCAGGTATTTTATGACCCTAGCAATGCCCCTGTTGCGCAATAATAATCAAGGATATTTTTTATAATGTGGATTTATTTATTAAAGAACATCGTATTACACAGAAATTTGAAAATATTTACACACTTACATTATATACCATTTTTTTTTAAATTAATTGCATGTATTTGTTTATTAGCCCTAAATAATGTATATGCTGTACATTCAGTGGAATGTACAATTTGGAGTTTAGAATTTTTCATGTTCCATTGCACTGCCAGAAGTATTGATTTGTTTTGTTAAAGGTTGGGTACTTTCCTTTCCTCCCATTTTGTAAGACAAGTTGTATACAAAGACCCCATAGGAATAAAATGAAGCAACTCTCTTAAATGGGGATCTTCACATCTATATTGTGCACTGGAAGCTCAGACGAAATAGTGCATGTAAGGATACATGAGACGTTGCATGTGTAGCCGGGTTATTCACTTAAGCGAGTATTGCAAGGAATTCAAAGAGCATTTTTTAAGCCTACAAGGGAAGACTGGCAACTTTTAGCATGGGGATCAAGAACAAACTAATTGCTTTTATTCTGCACAATACTCACAGATCTCTGTGTGGATTTTCAACATATATAGATATGACAGATAGAGGCTTCAGGAGTTTAAAGTTTGCCTTCATATATTACTACAATCTCCATTAGTAAGACCTGCACAGTATGAAGGTACGTTCACATATATCTGTGCAAAAAGGCATTCAATGTTTACAATAATACAAATACTTAGCTCATATAGCTTTGACCCTAACCTTGCGGCCTCTAACTCCTGGGCGTCTCCTCTCAAGCCTCCTTTAAATCAATGATATACAACTGAAATTGGGTTTCAGCTTTTATAAAAAGAGGTATACATTATAACCATAGCGTGATACTGTTTGAACTATTGAAGCTGCAGTGATAACAGATACACTCACATGATTTGGGCAATGTTGTGCTTAACAGGTGCATCTCCATGATACCACAGGGGGCTTGAAATAATGAGGTATAAGCCCAGAACAAATCTCTCACAAAGTACTCAGAATTCTCTCTCCATATATGCCCACAGAGATTCTATCCCAAAGTAGTCAAATTTTGTATAAAACAAGTCCTATGCATTTCGTCTGTTGTGCATAAATAAACTTCCTCGAGGAAGCGACATTTGGCATATGAACATTATTGAGAGCACAGGTGACCAGCTCATACACAAATCCATACCGTGCCTAAGTAGCAAAGACCCTGCAGAAATGTGTAAACAGATATCCCAAGACACTTATTGCTATTTGAAGCAGGGGGAGGCCTTGCCAGCTTGAAAAATTCTCCAAGGCAATTAGTTTGGATATTGTTCAGTTTGGTTATGTTGGCCATACATTTGAAATTCACTTTGATTTAATTTTGAATTCTCCACAATTCTCACCTTAATAATTAACCCTGTAAGTCTTTTCCTACTTTTAGTGGGAGAGTATGGTTTGACTCAATACCCAGCTCAGTGATAGTGAAGTATTTTAATAAATATATGCATAGATTTTTTTAACTTTTTTATTTTTTCACTTGTTATTGTATTTGTATTTTTTCAGCAATGCACATTTTTTAGCTGTGTACATTTAAGAGATAGCAAAATGGAATAGCATTTTAGGGAAATTTATCTCAAATTACATATTCCTCATGTTTCTTAGTATTATTTCATACCTTACATTTCTTGGTATTTTTTGAAACATTTGTCAGTTTTGAAGTGTTTAGAATTGTTCTAATTTTATATTAAGGTGAAACATGCCATATTTTGAATACTTTTGAATTCCATTAAATACATATTATTCAATTTTGTCCAGATAAGTAACTTTATTGTATTGTAGCAATGATACAAAACTATTTTACCCTTGCACACCGAGTCTGTACACATTTACCAACATATTCTTACATGCAGTTACTTAAAAGAATACTTCAAGAACCGTAAACGCTACAGCCTGCTGTAGTGGTTTTGGTGCCAAGTATACACTGGTGCCATCCCACTGTAATATGTCAAACCATTTTAGCATAGTATCACCTGACACCTATATTTATGTTTAAATCTATACATATATGGCATCTTCATCTTCATTAAATTGTATGCATCACTGGCTACTAAAATTAACCATGAAGGTTTTAATATAAATGTAAATGGCACTGCATCATTTTTGTGTATGTATTTTTTCTGCTATTAGGAGGTTGAGGGGAATACAAATTTACTTCAAATAGCATACATAAAAAGCAACAGGTTTAGAGGATATGGCACTGAAAGCCTAAGGGGGAAGTTTATCATAGTGTTATGTACTGTAAAGTGATACAAATTTCAAAAAGTGGGACAATTACCGTGGAAATTGGTGGAATCAGGAGGGACATTTTATTTGTGATTATTCCACTTTTACAATGTCGCCACACTTTTCAGAACACATAATTTCAAAGCCATTGATTGCAAAAATATCATATCACAATAAACATTCAGTGCTTGCATTATAGAAAAAAAATATAGGAACTTGACATGCATAAAAAAACAGAATAATAATATGCTTGAGAGTGAATATAAGATAACATGGCATTCATATGATGCTTCAATTTATTTGACCATAACAAACATTGTACAACCTAATATCTATAAGGTCCACTGTGTTACTTTTATATGGGTGGCAGAGTACTTTGGAGAGTAGCTGCATCCATGACTTCCCTTAGTTTGCAGCATATAGCACATTTAAATGTAAAACAGTTACATTATTTCCATATATATACTTGCAAAAGTACAGAATCGTTATTTCCATGAAGAAATATCCTGTGTTTAATTTTTTTGTTTTGTTTTTTTGTCAAGTTGTAAAAATAGATCATTTAACTCTCTTGAGCAAATAGAAATCTCCACCAACTATGCTACTGTCCACACTATTACAAACACAGACTGCTGCACACACGCCACACGCATTCTACACAAACACGCACTGACACACACATAAACAGATGTACTTGTACTCAGACATATACACATTACTACATATGTGCACACACATATACATACTCTAGGTATATATATGACAATTTTCACAATATTTAAACAGTCAAGTTTTTTTTTTTTTGTTTGCAAGTAGGAATTGGGGGCACTTGAGATTTCTCTGCCTACAGTTGCTCGTGATGTAAATCCAGCCCTGACAAACACAGCATAGCAGAGCTTGATGATGATAAAGGTAAAGTACAACTGCAGGATTGCCCTTGACTCTACATTGGAAATTACGGTATGATGTAGTTTATGCAAATTATACCATATACATATATGCCAACATCAACACTGCGTAGTTGATTTACATAACTTCATATTTCTGTTATTGCAGAAATTGTCCAGTGAGGTCATGATGTACATTTTTATATATAAGAAATTTAAATCACAAGATGAAAAGCACAATTAACTAATAAACCAAAGTCATTAGCACATCCAGGTACCGAAACTTTTCAATATTTCTAATATTTCTTATTTAGATCATTTACATTAAATTATAAAATTTCTTCTTAATACCACCCCAAAATTCTGCCAATTTGTAAAATGTTTCCTGTTCGTTCATAAAACACTAGATAGATTTCCTGCATGTCTATAACACAAAGCATAATTAAAAACCGGACGTATGGAGCTAGAAAACAGAATATAAAGTTGTTGTGTATATATCTAAGTAAAAAAAAAAGGCAAATACTGACTAACAGGCAATATTCTGCAAAGAATACCACCAATAGAACATCATAACATGAAGTTTCCTTTATGTTACTGGTCTGGCAGGATGTACACATCTTCTTCTGTATGTTCATTGTTCATTGTGCCAGGCTCTGTGTAGCTATAATATGTTGGTTGAGTGTTGCTGTAAATTGGTTGGTCACCATCAGCGACATCACTTTCCAAATATATACCCTCTTCTACCTCCATATTCCTGTAAAAGAGGTTGACAAAATAATATACCATCAGCACTAGAGATATATTTATATCAGTAACAACAACATTGCTATTATAAAAATCTAAAAGCAATTATTAAAGTTTATTTTTAGCAATGATGATTACAATGAACAGTAAACTGAAAATAGAATGAAAATGAGAAATAGGAACAGTAGCAACAAACTGTCGGGTTGCTGTTGAGAAATGGGGGGTAACCCCTAGAGGCTATTGTAAAGAGAAAAGAGAGAAACTAGGCAGAAACAGAGAAACCAAGGGGTCAATATGTATCTGTCCCAAAGGTTCCCTGTAATTGCAATGCAACCCAAAAGAAAATAATTAAAAACTAACTTGAGCCTTTGTGGCGAAACGCGCGTCGGGTGTAGTTAGTGAGCGGGTGGTTGGTGATTTACCGGGGACTATGCTGCAGCTAGTTTAGACTATACAGGACACTCTTAGCAGACCACCCTCTCTTCACTTTTATTCATTTATATTTTGATTTATACCTCTGCTTACCTTCTATTGAGGTTCTCTTTCTGTTACATTCAGGCAGGTGTTCCAAACCTGAGTGTTGTTATGGGAGTTAGGAGATAGTACTTATTACACTAGGCTTCACAGCAAGACAGACTTTAGACCTCCTTTTACAATAGTTTTTATTGGATGTCTTTAGTACTATTAGGCAATCCCTCTTTTTCTCTCTCTCTTGCTCTGTGTACTACCTAGTCATTTTGCAAGTACTATTCTCCTCTCTCTCTGTTTTTTTTCACTTGATTATTATTATTATTTTTTGTGTGATACCATTAGTTATTTTCTAAACTTCGAATTTTTAGAAGGAATTTATTAAAAGTTAGTTTTTAATTATTTTCTTTTGGGTTGCATTGCAATTACAGGGAACCTTTGGGACAGATACATATTAACCCCTTGGTTTCTCTGTTTCTGCTTAGTTTCTCTCTTTTCTCTTTACAGTAAACTGAAAATACACTAACAATGTAAACATCACTATACACAACCTAAAATAGTTAATACTTTATTTTATATAGTTTGTGTTTTAATAGTGTAGGGGAAGCCAGGGAATATGCAATGGGAAAATGTGCAAAAACTAGATATCCTTCCAGTCCTCATTTCCACAAGGAAAGAAGCGCTATAATAAAGAAGAATTTTATACATTTAAAGAAAGTCAGTAGAAGTACATGGGGCAATATTGCACCTGCCTGTGTACTTTCCATTGGAAAACATTGCAATTGAGAGGCACAAAAGTGACATCATGCACCTCATATACAGAGTGTTACCCCTGCTACCCACCGCCCAAAAATCCAATTCAGTGTTGCTTGATCCATGAATTGGAGGATGCACAAAAGAGTCTGGAAGCACATCCCTTATTCCCACATTCACAAATCGTAAAAAATGCAATTAAAGGAGCACTATAGTCAAAATATAAAAGCAAGAGAGACAGGTCCCCTCGCCTTCTTCCTTGCTTTTATATTAATGTCCCCTTTAAAAAAAAAATAAAAAAAAATTGAGTGATTATAATAATATAAACTTACCTCCGTTCCAGCGCCAAGATCATCGGCAGGCCGTGCCCTCTTTTTGGCTTCCTGGAGAAGCGTCATAGCGATCTGGTGCGCATGCGTGACTTCGCGCTGCACCAATCACATTCTTCATAGAGCGGCATTGAATGCCGCTCTATGAATGAACACTGAGCGCTGTACCGCATATGTGTGTGGTATGCATGTTCGTGAGCTGAGCTGACTGACAGCTCAGCTTGCTGTTTATGCCTGCCCCCTCCTAAGCCCAAAGTTTGTGTGTATACAACTATATAACACTATATCTCTATTTATAGTGTTTGTATAAAAACACACACATTTTAAAAAACGTTCACACACACTATCCATCCTTCCATCCATCCATCAATCCATCCCTATCCATCAATCCATCCCTATCCATCAATACATCAATACATCCCTATCCATCCATCCCCATCCGTCTCTCCATCCCTATCCATGCATCCATCCATCCCTATCCATCACTCTCTATCCATCCATCCCTCTCTATCTCTCTCTCTATCGATCCCCCTCTATCATCCATCTATCCCTCAGAGGGAGGGGTGGATGGATTAATGATAGAGAGGGATGGATGAATGGATGGATGGAGAGGGATGGATGGATATAGAGGGAGGGATGGATGGATGAATAGTGAAAGATGGATGGATGGATAGGGAGGGATGGATGATAGAGAGGGATGGATGGATGGATGGATGGATGGAGAGGGATGGATGGATGGATGGATGGATGGAGAGGGATGGATGGATAGAGAGGGATGGATGATGGAGATGGATGAATGGGGATGGATGGATAGAGAAAAATGGATGGATGGATAGAGAGGGATGGATGGATGGATGGATGGATGGATAGAGACTCTTACTCTCTCACTCTCTCTCTCTCTCTCTCTATCTCACCCACACTCAAACTCTCTCACACTCTCACTCACTCTAATTCATTTTTAAAATAAGTTTACTTACGGTTTGAAGTCAGTAGATGCTCCTGCTCGGTCTCCTGCCTTCAGCCTGTCATCCAGAGCCCATGCTGTGTGCGGGAGATCGTTATCTCCCACTCTGTTGGCTCTGATTGTTGACAGGATCCAGGTTACTACAGGACGCAGGAGGTGCTTTCACAGTGCTTCCTGTGTCCTGATAGCACGTTTGATGTCTTCAGCCAAGCGTGAAGATCATAGGCGTGCGCAGCCTATTGCATTAGGGTGTGCACCCTAAAGCACAAGCACACGCCGCATATATATATGTATGTATGTGTATATATATATATATATATATATGTGTGTGTATATATATATACATACACATATATACACACATACACACACTGCTGTGTGTGTGTGTGTGTGTGTGCTGTGTGAGGGTGCTGTTAGTGTGATGTGTGTGTGACGATGCTGGTAGTGTGCTATGTGAGTGAGGGTGTTTGTGTGTGCGTGCTTGTGAGGATGCTGTTAATGTACTGTGTGTGAGGGTGCTGTTTGTGTGTGTGTGCACTTGTGGGGGTGCTTTTAATGTACTGTGTGTGAGGGTGCTGTTTGTGTGTGAGGGTACTGGTAGTGTGCTGTGTGTGTGTTTGTTAGGGTCCTGTTTGTGTTTGTGAGGGTACCGTTAGTGTGCTGTGTGTGTGTGAGGGTGCTGTTTGTGTGTTGGTGCTGTGTACGTCTGTGGGTGCTGTATGTGTGTGGGTGCTGTGTATGTCTGTGGGTGCTGTGTATGTCTGTGGGTGCTGTGTCTGTGGGTGCTGTGTGTGTCTGTGTATGTCTGTGGGTGCTGTGTATGTCTGTGGGTGCTGTGTATGTTTGTGGGTGCTGTATGTCTGTGGGTGCTGAATGTCTGTGGGTGCTGAATGTCTGTGGGTGCTGTGTATGTCTGTGGGTGCTGTATGTGTGTGGGTGCTGTGTATGTCTGTGGGTGCTGTATGTGTGTGGGTGCTGTGTATGTCTGTGGGTGCTGTATGTCTGTGGGTGCTGAATGTATCTGGGTGCTGAATGTGTGTGGGTGCTGTGTATGTCTGTGGGTGCTGAATGTGTGTGGGTGCTGTATGTGTGTTGTATGTGTGTGGGTGGGTGATTGTGGGGGTACATTACTTGCTATCCCCCCTCCCTTCTTACCTTTTGTAGGGAGGGGGGATTGTGCTGCTGCTTCCTTCCCTGGTGGTCCAGTGGAGGAGGGGATCCTTGCTGCTGTCATCCCTGGTGGTCCAGTGGAGAGTGAACTCTAACCCCTGTGGGGATAGAGTTCACTCTCACGAGATTTGAGCGTTGCCGTGGCAACGCTCATATCTCGCGAGAGGAACCCGGCGGAGCTGCCGGTAAGAGCTCCGCCGGGTCCTCTCCTGCCTCCCTCCCTGCATGTGGGTCAGTGGGGAGGGAGGCTGAGAGCAGAGCCGGCGCTCGGATAGCGCCGGCTCTGCATGAGCCGACAGGGGAGATCCTGAGATCTCCCCTGCCGGTCTCAATATACATAGGCGTGCCGCGGGGATTAGGGTGTGCCCAGGCACACCCGGCACACCCCGTGCGCACGCCTATGGTGAAGATGTCAAACGTGATGAATGCGAATTAGGCAGACGTTAACTCGGAAGTCCCTCTGGTGGCCGTCTGATTGCTACTGGAGGTGTTCCTAGCTTCCAATAAAAAAGGCTGCAGGGAGCTATTGTACTCAGCTGAACAACCCCATTAAGCTTAAGTTGTTCAGGTGACTATAGTGTCCTTTTATCATGGAGCAAAATGGGGAAAAGACTGTCTGAAAATACTGCTAAGTGAGATCTTGCAAAGCAGTAAACTTACTGTTACACTGAATTACTGTTAGCTTACAGCGAGGGGTTTCACTGCAGCACTGAGACTAAGGACATTTAGGGTTAAGGTTTAACATTATTCATTTGGGGTTGAGTTTAAAAATTGGGTTAAGAACTAATTTAGCCTCACTCAATTATTATTGTAGCCCTAGAACAGTGTCTCATGAGCTTAAAAGAATGGAATATTTTTTAACAGCCTGGGCTGGAATTAGCAATGCTAGCCATTTATATGAACATAGAAGAAGTTGATCAGGGGTATCCTGTAATAACCTTAGGCTATTATCTCTAGCGGTTGAATCACTGATTCTATGCAGAGTTCTCCAATTTCCCATCCAAAGTATGTATTCTGCTTGGTAAACCTACAACTTTCAATTTTCAACTAATTTATATAAAAATTGTATTTTTCTTAGATTTTCACATAGTTTCGTTTTTGTAAACTGCCTCTTCTCAAAGTGTGAATAAAAAGAAAATGCCGCCTTCCCCTTGCAATCTGCCATTGCTAGCTAACAGGGCAGCCATCCTAATATATTGCTCATTGATATGGGGCTTTACGTTATAACTAAGGATTAAAACAGATGTTGGTCATGGAGTAATGGCATAACTAAAACTTATATTTGTGAAGAAAAAATGATTATTATACACAGTCTAAAAAATTTTTTACCGTTTGCCGCCTTGTGGTTCAGGTCCATGCCATTCGTATGGTTTTATTTTGTTATTTTTTGTTGGACCAGCAACCATTACGTTCTCATATTCTCTCCTCTCACAACTAAATTCAGTTGTAGTTTGTTGAATGCTGTCATTATTTGTGGTGGTGTAGCGAGGTTGCATGTGAGTAGGTGACTTGTCTGGACTCCCTTTGTCTTCCAAATTAGTAGATGTCATTATCTTCGTATACATGAAGTAAGCAACTGTGCCCAGTATCAGAAGCAGCAATGCTATTGGTACAGCAATATATATGGCCATAAGCTTTGCTGATCCGCATTCCTGTAGAAATTCCTTCAAGTCGAACAGCGTTGAACCCAACTTACACTGAATAAAAGTATGGTTGCAGTTTGTATTATTGTTACATGCATGTGAAATAGACTGTGCGACTTTACATGTGCAATCAACAGTCAAGTTGGAAAGATTCTGATGAAAAATTGTTTCAGGAATGGATGACAATAAGTTTCCCTCAAGGTTCACAAATTTTATTTTTTTAGAATTGTTTAGAAAATTCCTGGGTAAAAATGTAAGCCTATTTTCATTAAGGCTCAGATTAACCAGGGCAGTGGCATCATGAAGAAAATAGTCTGAAAGCAAATTAAGTTTATTGTGGGACATTTCCAGATGCTCAAGATTTTTGAAAAGATGGAACTGTTTGCCGATATCTTTTATGTTGCTGTGACGTATGATCAGGGTTGATATATTTATACACTTGCTGATTTCTGTCCAATTCAATTCACAATTCAAATAAGGTGTATTTGTGATATTAATTAAAGGAGAACAATTAAATTGAATGCACACTCCATTGGTGTAAATGATAGGGCAAAGAAATACTGCTATGTATAAAAGCGTATGCATTCTTCTCTTAAACCTGTGGATGAAAAACAAAACTGTAAATTATTGTGCCTCTAATTATGTAAATATGTAATTCACAAAATAGAATATACTAGCAAATTGGTTCCAACTTTTCAGTATTTCAATTAAGCCCTGCAGTCATGATTCAGGCCTTTTTATGAATTATTGTTATTTGCTTGCTTTATTGAACTTTCCCGATTCCCATTATGTGTACCCACCCAAATTATATGTGTATATATATGTATATCTATCTATCTATCTATATATATATATATATATATATATATATATATACACACACACACACATGTAAATATACATGCACATAGCTGCTGTTACCCAATGTGTTTGCTGTGCCCAATAATCATCATTACATATGAATAAAATATAACAAAAATGGGAAACAAAATTCTCATTCAACTATAAACCTCTGCCAAATGTGTTAACTATATTTATGTTTTTTTTGTGCTTTTTACATGTGTTTAATTTTCATGGGAAATATCACAAATCTTGTGTGTTTCACTAGAAAAAAAAATTGCCTTATTTTGACCACATTTTGATTTTATTTTAAGATATGGAGGCTCATATAGTGCTGTATTCCTATCTTTACTTCACAACAGTAGCAAAGAAACAACAGTAAACAGTAGGTGGAAGGGGATATGTGCGTGACCCCTTCCACCAACCATGTCATCAGTCATATAAAACCCCTAGGCACTTCCCTAGCTTCCTCTTTCTTTGTTGCTCCCAGACAGCAGAGGTGCACATTTATTTTGGTGTTATGTGGGAATAATGTGTGTGTCTTTGAGTAATATTCAGCTATTGCTCTGTTTCATAGTTTATAGGATTTCCCTCTTTGTGTGCCTATCTTTGTATCATCTATCCTGTGTGTTCTCTGTTTTTGTTTCTAAGAGATTCACCTATCAACAAGATTCTGCTGTATTCATGTATGAATATATCTGTATTTGTTTGTGGCTATACTAAACCACAGGCGCGGATTATCTCTTTTTTCTTCTGTTTTGTTCTAATTGTGTCATCACAAGGTTGGGGAAATGTTGTGTGATAGTCTGCTGCCCTCACCCATCTCTTGAGATATAGTGAGCACCTATACCCTATATTTGTCTCTCTCTCTCTCTCTCTCTCTCTCTCTCTCTCTCTCTCTCTCTCTCTCTCTCGGTTTATCTGCACAATCCTATCCTATCCAAAACTATAATTCATAAACTCTTCTTCTTTCACCTTTGCTTACAAGGGTTATGAAAACAATGACAATTATAAAATATTTGTAATGAATATACAAGGATGTAACATTTAATATGCAGGGTGCCAGCTTATAAGTCCATTGAGAAATCAAAATGCCATTTTGGAGTCACATAGGAATTATTGTTTTTTCAGCCTATATTATGATGTAAAATTATTTATGAGGAAAATTGAGCTATGCAAATAAAAATCCACCCATGGTGAGTGTGCTATGGATCCTAGAGATGTAGTGGCATATATGTTTTAAGCTTGTGTAGTAGCAAAGCACTTGAATAGCAAAAAAGAGAGCACTCAGTGTTTCAGTCCACTAACGCAACACTTTTCTATTTGTAATGCTGCTGTCAAGTGTAACGAGAGGGAGGAATCCAATACGCTACACCCAATATCTCCATAAAGCACAGTGTGTGCAGGGTACACACTCTCTATGGAGCCTAGGAGGACACTTTCTTGCCAGTTGTGGTGGTGAGTAAGGCTGAGCACAGAAGTGTGAGCCAGCAACCTTGGATAGTGCTGTTGTGCCATACTGGGACTTGGGACATTGCTCAGACCACCAGGACGCCAAGGAGGCTGAAGTTCTCACTCAAGTCCTGCATGCCAACCCTGGAGCAGGGGGAATTATAGCACAATGGGGCCAGCCACGCATTAACAAAATGCTGGATTGTATGTTTTTTACAGCTGCAATAAATGCACATATTTATTTCTCTAAAGAAGTCTTGCAAAGGCTTTCACATGGTCAGGTATAAGAAATGGAGTTGTTGATTGCTGAGGTATAACAAATAGAGGGTTTTTTTTTTTTTTTAACAATTTCATATATATATCACATTAAATTCTTACCTGTCCTTTAAAAATCAATACTGATGGAAACTATAGGTGAGGATTCCAAAACTGGTGCTTTATCCTTAAGGATTACCTCACTTTTATACATGTTAATGCATTTTTCTAAACAAATATTTAAATGCAAGCACAAATTGTTAAAAGTGCTTCATCAAAAGTGATTCTTCTTTGTGCTTGCAATAAAATTATATTTGTGAACATCCAGCACTAATGCAGAATAAAGTCTTAAACATTATGCCGCTATGTCTTCATTTGCATGATGAGCTAGGAATTGAAGGACAATTGTGGAAACATGATTTCTCTACATAAGGCAGACTTTTCTCAAGGTCCTACTTGAGATATGAAGATAATGCTAACAGTAAAAATAGAATTTGCATAAACCACTGGGACATTTACTGTGTTTGGTCTCACCACTACTTAATACTTCTCTCGCCCATTCTCTCTCTCTCTCTCTCTCTCTCTCTCTCTCTCTCTCTCTCTCTCTCTCTATATATATATATATATATATATATATATGTATATATATAGAGAGAGAGAAAGAAAGGCCTCACACTCAATAATTCTGCACCTTATAAGGTACAAGCACAAAATGAGCATCACATGGGGCTGGAGACATTATAATAAAACATAAAAACAATATTGCATTATATGTATAGCATACAGTAATGCTATGGTTACTTTGTTAGAAGTAAAGTTGGAATTATGTTAATTTTGGAGTTAGGATTGTTACAATTAACAGCCACTATTCTTTTCCTCTACATTTCTTTAATAATATAACAAAAAACAGTGACATATTTATTAAGTGATTGCCACGCTAATGAACAGGGCTGGATTAACATAGGGGCTGATGGAGCTGCAGCTCCAAGCCCACGCGCATGGAATAGGCCCATTTATTTAAAAAAAAAAGGTTTTTTTTTAAAATAATTTTAAAAAAAACACTTTTTTTTTTTTTACACACAGTACACTTAGGGTTGCCACCTGGCCGGTATTTATTTGAGGCTGCCTGGCCAGTGCCAATATTGCCGTAATACCAGCAATACAAATGCCGTTATTTTTCTCAGTATAAACAGATATTACTCTGCAATACCTGCACCAGCCAGTAGGAGTCGATATGTTTGTGGAGAGAGGCAGGGATAGGAAGTTACAGCATATAACTGCATTTCTCTACTCACTGATCCGTGGGGGAGCAACTACACAGGACAGAGAGTCCAGACAGGAGCTCCCAGCCTGCAGAGACAGCCTATAGCTCAGGGAAGTGAGGGATGGCGTAAAAGCTGAAGGGAAATATGGGAACACTGAGACATGGGGACACAGGGAGACCTATGGGGACACTGAGACACTCTACAGGCACCCAGACCACTTTATCGCATTGAATTGGTCTATGTGGAGTGTCCCTGGCTACCTTAGTTCTGCAATGTAAAACATTTGGGTTTTAGAGAAACCAGACAGCAACTAGAAGTGCCTAAGGACATCCAGCATCTACAAATCCTTTGATTCAGTGCTTTCCTTTGGGAAGGGCCTAATGCGCTCATGCACATAAGGTCCACCTTTTGATTGACCTTTGAGGAGGCAGAGCACCAACTCAGTGCCGAGGGACATCAGTGATGTAATTAGGCAGCTAAAGGGGGGGAGGGAGATCCGAGGGCACTATAGTGTTAGGAATACAGATTTGTATTCATAACTCTATAGTATTACTTTAATCAATTGCAAAACTAGGTTTAGTTTTCTGCTAACAGCTACTGCCAGGAGTACATAAAACAACTATGAGTGGCATTTTTGTGATGTAAATTTCTGGGTCAACTCATAGCCCCAATGAGGCCTTGATGTGTACATTTTCTAAGTATTTCTATTAAACAGGGCATGTGCAGCTTAGACAAACCCCATAACATATATCCAGAGTCATCCCTGCTGCCTTAGTATTATTACTAACATGACTTCACTTTTGTAAAGATATTAAAGTAAATATTAAAGTAAAGGAAAAGCTTTCCTTATGCCTTGTGTTTTGTGGGCTAATTGTGCTTATAAATATATTTATCCTCTTGAATTCACCATTTTTCTTCATACCGCTACCTCCAAACATTTAAAAACAGTATATACTTATGTTAAGAGGGTTGATCACAAATGTATAAGGAATAACTTTAACGTTTATCAACATGGGTTTCAAATGGGGATATAGAAAGGTTACAAGCTAACAGAAGTTTGAGAATACTATAATAATTTTTCAGTCACTCATTCAATTCAGGACAACAAGAGATATCTCAATGTAAAATTCAGGGTAAAATATTTATAAATTAATAGATGTGGCAGTAATGACAGTAAACATTTTACTATAGTACATAAATTGTTTCTGAAACAATGATACTCCTTGTTTGCCCTGTCCACTGTTTTTCTTTGTGGTTAGACTTGCTGTAATCTATGTTCTTTATGTGGGAAGCTATGAATTCAAATGTTATTATAATATAATGTAAGCTCAACAAGACACACAAAGCTCAGTGTGTGGAGAGAATATACCGCGAGTAAGAAACAATGCAAATTAGGATTACAGTATTTATTGCCACATGTATAGTTCCTCTTATCGCATAAATAATTGTTTGCTCACTTAACGAATGGTAGTAATACATAAACCAGTGTTATAGGATAACTTGCTAGACTATATTTTTCAAAAATTTTATTTTATTCACTCAGTTTAGGGAAACGTTGTATCCTTTTGTCATTTTCTTGTTTCTAAATGTTAAGTGGTTCTTTTCAATTTCTGCAAGAATATCACTAAACACATGATGTTTCCAGTACCTACATTGGCAGACTGATGCCCCATAAGCACACCCCACAACATTCTTATTCTGTTGTTAATTCTAATTCTGTCCTAATTCTGTTGTTATGATATGCATTTATTTTTGGAGGGTGGGGAGGGGGGGCATGGGTGGTAATATAATATTTAATGATCTGTCCATTTCATGTTCTTTTACTTACAGGACTGGTATGTGAGGTTTCTCTCTCTTTCAACTCATTCCCCTTTTTAGGTTGCTTTTACAGCACATTCACTAATCTCCTTTGCCAA